AAATTGAATTTTTTTTTTTTTTTTTTTTTTGGAGAATTCTAAACTTTTTATTTTATATATGGGAAAATTTGATCTCGAGATAAAAAAATATATATATATATATAATGAGTTCCAATAATTTTTGAAGTCGAGTTTAGTTAAAAATTATTGAAGATTTGTATATTTCAAAAACCATTTACTATTTCTTGAAGTTCGATCTCTTTTCTCGATAAACTATATAGCCAAGAGAAACTATGAACTAAAATCGAAGAAACTACAGCATGACAAGAATAGCCTTAAATCTCGAGAATGAGAATGTATGGTTGTCATCTAATTTGGACATAAAATCACGACCAAAAAAGGAAATCTTGTTAGCACACGTGACCCCATCGAGTGAAATATGTTTTTATGATTATTATCTCTCTTTTTTTTTTTCTCTCAAATGAATTTCTACGTTAGCTTACGTTTAAATTTTTCGATGAAAGAGTTATAAGACTCACATATCACACCTTCAATGTATTTTTTTTTACCTATCACGTATTCTAAAGAATCTGATAGTATTAGAAATAATTCACATCATGGAATTAGTCTGAATTAGGAGTTTCAATAAACGAGAGGCTACAAGCAAATTGCTTGTCGAGTATTTTTATACATATTCTTTGTTTTCCGAATGTATCATAAATCGTTGTTCGTTGATGGGAGCGTTCATAGCCTTCGGGTTGCAAGGAGAACCTATTCTTTATTTTTGAAGTGAGTTGAGTTAAAAATTCTTGGAGATTTGTATATTTAAAAAACTATTTACGCTCGGTCTCTTTTCTCGATAAACCATATAGCCAAGAGAAATCACGAACCAAAATTGAAGAAACTATAGCATAACAAGAACAACCTTAAATCTCGAGATTGAGAATGTAGAGTTTATCATCTAATCTAGCCGTGAAATCACTACTAAAAAAAGAAAATCGTGTCGAAGCACACGTAACTCGTATGAGAGATATAGTCTTTATGATCGTAATCTCTCTTTTTATAAAATAGTAATATTTCGTTGATGAAATAAAATTACAAGATGATAATTTTTTTCTCTAGCACGTGTTCTAGAATGACTTATGAAATCAACTCCAATAGAGCTGATTCTCGAGGTGGAAGATCGAACCATCAAGTAACACACAACAACGACATATTATTTTTAAAAAATAATGTTATTAATTAAATTAGACTAAATTCATTGAATTATTAATGTTTTTTTTTTTTATTTTTTATTCTCTTAAATAGCTGTCAATGGCAGGTTATTTTGAACCTTTAACCAGTCACACAGTAAAAACATGGCAGGTTATTTTTAACCAGTCACACAGTAAAAACATCAGAACATAGTTTTGTATAACTGTGTACGGTTATTAGATTTGGCCCATAGAATTGTCATTATTTTTTTTTTCTCTCAAATGAATTTCCACGTCAGCTTACGTTTAAATTTATGGATGAAAGAGTTATATGCCTTTTGTCACACATTCTCTGTATTTTTTTTTTTTAAATATCACGTGTCAAGTAAAGACATCATATTAAAATTGTCAACTCACGTTTTAATTTGTCGAAAAAAGAGTTATATGACTCACATATCACACGTTCAGGGTATTTTTGATAGGGCATGCACATTCAAATAAAGACATCCGAACGAAATTTCATATAACTAGACACGTTCAAATTGTTAGCGTTTTTTTCTATCAATATTTTGACACGGATCAAATAATCATATGATTCACGTGAAACGTTCAAATATTTATTTATTTTTTTTGGAGGGTAACATATTAAGTAAAGACATAAAACCAAATTTTATTTATTTTTAATAATTATTAAGAGGAAGGTAAAACGTTTACATGCCTTAAATGGATTAGAAATTAGAGCTTTGAAAATTGGGCTATAATTTAAAAAATAATTTAAAGAAACAAAAGAAAAAAAAAAAATTTAAAATCCTCATTAAAATTTAGAAAAATAAAATTACAATTTAACCCTCTATCATTAAATATTTGTTTCTCTTCTATGAAATTAATAAATTATAAAAAAAATAAAAATAAAGTAATTTTTCCAATTAAAAAGTTATTTTTACGAAAACTAATTTATATTAAAATTGATTAACGAAAAATTAAATTAATGATACTTATTTAAGTTTAAAGATGAATTTAATAAAATAAAAAATTTAATTAAATATTAAATAAAAAAAA